CTAAAAACTGCCCTGGAGAAGGTAGATATCTCTAATGTGGGGCGCTCATGCTCAATCTCAATACATAGGTAGTACTGTTAATATTCCTATCCAAAAGAATGCCAAGATACTGCAAAATCACTGCTCGAATCAGGTTGGCCCTGCGAGATATGTAACATTCCGCAGACAGGATCAGAAGTGGGGCACCCTGTATAATCTTGAACGTGTTTTACGTATTTTCGTAGAGATAATCCTGGGCAGTTTTTGAAAAAGTTTGTGTCTCCGGGAGTTGGGCCACCGCATACTATGTTTTCTATATCTGTCCGAAAACCGCTTTCTTGCTATGAAAGGACTTCTGGATTTTGTATTCTGTTATAGTAGGATACCAAAATTGATGACAGTAGCGAAACTCATCGTACGCCACTGCTATTACGCGGAGGCTTTCGAAAATGCGGCACTTCTTTGTGAAATGTCGGTAAACGTCGCTGTAATCAAAAGGTACAGCGTCAAAGCAGTGGCGCACGATGACTTCTGCTACTGTCATCAGTTCTGGTATTTGACTATTTAAAATTGGATGCTTGTTGATGAAAAATTTGTCCGCACTATAATACTAGCAAAGCGTTCTGTCTGCGACATCCGTGTACCTATCACGTTTTCAGACACACTAGACGTTTGGAAAATTTCACATTTTGTGCGTCAGTACTCACGGAAATTGGTACTTCATAGATCTTTACACCTGCCTGAGAAAGTATCAGCCTTCGCAATAACCGTTTAAAATGAGGGGAACATAATATTGACATAAATCGTCAATAAATAAATGTAGAGAAATACTGGTGTGGTTTCAAGTTTAAACCTTCGCAATGGAATTCTTATTGAACATAAGGATCTCAAGCAATTCGTATCAATAAATAGGAACAGAGAGGCTGTACGAAAAATCATCTATAGGGTGAATCGGGTGCGTAAGGCTGCGTTTACACTTGCGCGTTGTAGTCAGTACACGTTTCTGTCTCCCAGCAAATATGGACGAAGTTGACGGATTTTATTTTCATGAAAGTCCTTTACTGATTAAGTTACTGTTGTTAAATGGTGTAAAATCAGAACATGTCGATCTTTTATTTTCTAGTAGAGATGACTAGAGATTGATAGGTTATTATTGTTTGTCTCCATTATCCCACAGTACACTCTGTTTTTGGTACATAGTAGTTATCAATCTTTTCTATTGTGAAATAATCAACTTAAAAGCTTATTGCGAAAAAATCAAATATGTTTCAATGCTCAAATGGTTCATTCGCACTGACTCTAAGCACGTTCGTTGCAAAACTGGTCTTTGATTATATGGGTCCAAAAATATGAGGCTGTCACCCACTGATGATCTGAAATGACAGATTTTCTATATGGAACTGAATTCCCCCGAAACTCCACGGTTTTTAAATGGTCCTATTTACATTCAGAGTTTCAAGTTACCTGAACAGTAAGGGCCGAATCGTCAGTCGTTCCGACAATTGTAGGACGCCTTTATGGCCTCCTTGATTTCCATAGTCTTTCCTCTCCTTCAAAAAGGCTGGGATATTTGTAGACTGCTACCGTTCCGTGTCAACGTCAGCGCTCTCCTATTGTCAGGTTATGTTTTCTTGTTGAATAGTAGGAAATTTCAGGCTATATAACAGATGATATAAATCAAAAGCATCAACAATATGATGCAAATATATATTTGTAACCTAACCTCAAAATAGAGCGCTGACACGGAAGATTAGAAAACTATGAAAATCAAGGAGGCCATAAAAGCGGGCTGCAATTGTAGGAACGACTGACGATACGGCACTTAAATTTTCACTGACTTGTAACGACAGGAAACGAAAATGGAAATTTTACCTTGCAAATTTCTTGATTTTTTAGCTTTCCCGTGGGAAAATATTTAAAACATTTTCGTTTCATCGTATCTGTAATCTTAGACGAAGATGTGACTCCTAGAAATTGACGCTAGCACCACAAGTTACCCGACTGTACTACTATTCGTCATTATTCGTCAGAGCGGTCCGGTGGACCTTTGCTCTCAGTTAAAAGTCTCGTCGGTCTGTTAGTCTGTCAGGTCTGGCTACCCAGATACCAAACATGTTTAAGGGGAAAAGGTAAAGAAGGAAGAAATAGAGCAAAGAAAAGAAGTAAATCATTTGAAATAGCTTAAGCATTATTGCTTTGACTACTCGTAACCCGATTGTATAAATTCGCTTGCAACAGCAGGAACGAAAGAGGACATTATGTCAAAAAGACCTTGTCAGATCCGTGATGAAAATTTAGGTATAGATTCCCAATCTGACGTCAGATTGATTTAGCATTGGCAGGTGTCCCGATTTTGTTGAATGTTCCGATAAATCAATAAGTTTACTAAAAACCATTGTTATTACAAAAAATTAATTACGCATCGCATCGTTATGTCGAGCATTAGAACGCGCTCAAAGTACTTATGACATCGCTAGCATACTTTCAGAGATGGCCGATATCGTTGTTTTTGAATCCTGTGTTATCTAAATGCGGGCTCAACGACAGCGGATTGAACTTATAACCATTTTCTCTCCATGATGACTCATTCACGTCAATGGTTATTAAAATCTAAAAATTGATACGTTCAACGACATGGATCAGCTTTATGGAGAAGTGTGTAAAGCCAAAGAAGTAGTTAAAGCACCAGTGAAAACAAAAACTTGACTGTGCTACAAAAATATCGCAATATTTTTAAAGACAACAAACTCTTCAAAAGTTATTTTCTTTTATGGCTTCAATATCGATATCAAACGCGGAAACGGGAAGGGTATTTTCCCAACTCAATAATACTTGCAGTGAATCTTATAACTAGGTTATAAAAAATCTATCAGACATATAATTTGAATAAACAAATAATCATTTAAACTCAATAACCGTAATAATAACTGATACATTACAAACTATATTAGCTGACGCACATAGTAGATTAAGCCCTAATTGTTGGAAATCATTACTGTTTTTTTAGCCCGATCTGCAGCACGAAATCCCGATTTGTTTTACATTCTGTCCTGATTAATCAAATCGGACCTGACAGCACTACTTTGACCACACACAAGCGCTTCAAACGACCCATTTTCTACCTGGAACTCGGTCCGACGACACTTTCCGAGTCTTTAAAAAAACCATTTTCGCATTCAGCGCCCATAAACCGCCTATATAAGTGTACGAAGTTTCAATGGCTTGTAAAACCGGATTCGCAAATGAAAATTTTGTTTAGGCGAGGTTTTACTTAACCTGTTTGTTGGCATTGTAAGGCCCTTGAGTGACGATGATACGTCCTCGCAACATCGAAGCTTAGGCAACCAGTTACTCCGCCGTGCATCAAGAGCGGTATAGCTTAGGACACCGAGAAGGATCGTTTGACATCGGGAGCATTCGAGAAGTATCGATCGGCATCTAGATAACTTCGATAAAGCACTGGAAGGCTCTGGATTGGCCAATTTGAAGGAAGTGTCATAAATTAGTGCTACAAAATGACGATTTATCATTTCCATAGCATATATGGGTATCAAATGAAAGGGTTTGATGACAGAAATATAATAAATGGCGTGACGCCATTCAAAACCTAATATGGCAGTCACCGCAAATGGCGATTTACACGTTTCATAGTCACCCCTACGATATGGGTATCAAATAAAAGTAAGCAAAGTGATGTCACTATAAATCTAATATGGCGGCCGCCGCAAGGTATTGATTTACATTATTCCTCTATGATATGGATCAAGGGGCTTGGAGAGAGAGACGTAATAAGCAAAGTGACGTCATTCCAAATCCACTATGATGACTGTCCTAAGATGACGTTTATGATTATCATAGCTACCCCTATGATATGGGTATATCAAATTAATGTGTTTTATAAGAGAGACATAACAAGCAACGTGTCAGGTCATTCTAAATCCAATATGACGGCCACCGCATAATGACGATTTATAATTTCTATAGTTAGTATCGGTACCAAATGAAAGAGCTTGATGAGGGAAACATTGATTTTCCCACGCACAATGACAGATTTTTCTTTGTGTTATTTGAATTTACTTACGTAAGATTTTTAAACACTCGACTTACTTTACACAAATAAAGTGCTTTTCATTGTAAGTTCTTATATTCGCATTTAGCTCCCCAAGTTGCCTAACTACCTATACAAGATTTGGTTATACACTTGCAATGCAGGAAAGAAATATGTAAGTTCTATTCTGAAGCTTTGAAGTACTGTTATATCAAGTAAAATAGTACATAGTCTCCATAAAAAATTGATATTTTAATCAATATTAAACCGAAATAATTCAGTTTATATAACAAGAAATAGATATTGACGCTTTGCGCTAAATTAGATTTCAACCGTTTTCTAATATTCACGTGATTTATATCCTCCCGTTCATCGTTTATCGAGCATGTAATAGCTGGAAATTAACATTTTGTAGAAATAAGGGTATAATGATTTCTTTTACAACCTGTTACTATAACGTTTGTGCCGCCACTGACTACGTACCTCAACTTTCAGTAACAGTCTAGATTACCATGCTTACACGGAGCTCGATTTACTGGTTGCGTACATAAAAATACTAAACGTACTACTAACAACGAATGAAGCATTCCTCGGAGGGTCGGAGGTCGGCGTAATTAATCAAATGTATAGGCATGATAACACTCAACTAAATGAAGGTTTTGACATTAGTATTTGTCTGCTTACCATGAATCACCAGTGGTTTTAGGATACATTCCTATTTGAGAAAACCAAGGCTTATAGTGAAATTCCTGCAGATATTTCGTATCATTCCATTGGAATCATAAAGAAAAACATTTCCACACAGAAAAATTAAACTATATTTCCCTTTGAAACGCAAAAAAGTCCTCCCCGGCGGGGAATCGAACCCCGGTCTCCCGCGTGACAGGCGGGGATACTGACCACTATACTACCGAGGACTTACTAAAATTGTTTTGTAAACATGTATGTATAACAAGTAGACGTATATATTAAGAAAATAAATTTTATCTATTATCTCAAATATTTAAATAATAATAATGCATCGTCATGCAATTTGATGAGCTTTGAATATTAGATAGTACGTTTTATTTGCTATAAGTGGCACCTTCCAAATCAAAGCGAATACACGAAATTTCAAGGTGCGCGAGCATTTTGTGATTTTATGTAGACAAGTGCGGCAAATCCTTGATCAATACATTCAACATAAAAAATTGTTGATGTTGAAATTGGAAAACTAAATTTAGACCGAACATGAGCAACAGCGAGCTACGCCGACGAAAGGTAAGCTTGTAGCGCCTACTTTTTTATCTAATCTGTTTTGATTCCATGGACCAGTGACGAATAGACGTGTAAAATAATTTCTACACTCTTTTTGTTGCTAAATTACCATTCATGTTCAAACCACATTCATGATCGGTGTGATATTAGAGCTGTGTTATATGTTCCGTTCTATATTTTCATATACCATTTTCTTATGCCTAAAAAATATGTAAGTAGCTTTTGCACTCCTAACCTCAAAAAATGTTTTGTATGATTTTCAATTCTTTTTCAGAACAAAGAACATAATGAAAAGACGACGAGTAAATCAATCAGAAAACGAAAAGACAAGACTGTTTCCTCACTGCATACGTCTCTGTTATGTCTAATTTTGAGTGGTACTCTGCTGACATTATTTGTAGGTACGTTTAAAGTTGGTTATGGCTTTTTTTTATTTCTTCCCCTATTCCTTTTTATCAAAACACCTTTTACAGTACTACTTATAAATCTTAAAATAGTTACGTCCTTTTTTATCTATTTCTACAATTTTAACTTGTACTGCTTGTACCTAGACAAGCTCTGCCAAAGTTAATTTGTTTTGATTTCCTTTTGTCTCCTGTTCTTCGAATGTTTACTAGATACTGAGTGTTGTATATTGTTTTTTGACAGCTGAGTAAGGCTCACAAAAACCTATTTAATGTTGATGATCACCTTATATGAAAATGACAGAACACTCTATGGAAAACATTATAAAAAAGAAATGTTTATTGTAGATCACTTGACTCTCACTCTAATACATAGATTGAATTTGATAATCACTTAAATTTCTTTATTGCATTTCATGCCTGTTAGATTTTTTTTTATTTGTATGCTAATGGCCTTTCATAAGCATTCATTTCTATAAAACTCCCAACATGATCAGAAAAATGTAGCATCTCGTTCAACCTAGCAAAACTATCCTTTTCTATTCAAAAGATTATATTTTTGCTCCTACAGAACTGATAAAGTTTGATAGAATTACTTTATCAGCCATAAGTCATGAGCCTTAAACATTTCAGTATATCCATTTTCTTTGTAATGACATGACCAGAGATCTCAAGAATATGAGATTATATAAAAATTAACATATTTTCTTTATTTTAGTGTACTATACTGATCAAATACCATGGTATATAGGCCACAGGGCAGTAGACAGTATTGCCAACAAGTTTGGCTATCACAAACCAGTACATGCAGTTGTTATAGATGCTGGAAGCACAGGATCAAGAGTATTAGCATTTACATTCCATGAATCCTACTTTGGTAAGATTTAATATAATACAAGATACAAGTATAAAACTGCTGCTTACATACAGGGACATTTATTTTCAAATTCAAGAGATGAAAAGATGATAATTAATTCTACTTTTTTTTTAATTCAACTGTACATACTTATTCTCAATCTCCACATGTAAATTTTAGCACCTTGGTGTTAGTTGTGAGATACCCTTGATATTTATATATTCACATTGTTTATATTTCCCCAAACTTTGTATTATAATTTTGTTGGTATGGTATGGTTGGTATGAAAAGCAGCTATTAGCTCACACCCGCCAAGTTAAATAAAGGCTATTATTATCATGTTATTATTATAATGTAACGGTTGTAGGGAAGGCTGCTGACACTCTAGTTACAATTAAAAGTGTATCACCGCTCAAATGCATTAAACCCCATTTCACAAGTATCCATCATGTTTTGTCATATGGTGAGGTGAACAGCTGATCAGCAAGTGACTTTGTATTAGTCTGTATGTTGGCAATAATGAATCGGATGTAAATCTAGTAAAACTTGCTTGTAACATATTTTGCATACAAAAAACCAAAACAAAATATAGCTCGTCTACCTGGCGTTGAAAGATCTGTCATATGGGGAATTTTGAAATAATACAAGATAATCAGCTGTTATTCTACTGATATTCGTGAAGAAGACAATATAGTCATTTTCAAAGGTGTAAATTGAAAAAATATTTTGTAAATAAAACACAATATTTGAATCCTAAATGTTGTGTTAAAATCATCAATCAATTATTATAAAACATCAGTTTGTAAGTGTATCTGTTCCTTTTTTTACCAACACAGTCTGCTGCCATGAACAATTTCAGAATGGGTGATTGAAATTTTCAGAATGCTAGAATTTACTCTTGTCTCTTCATAAGTTCAAGAACATCTGTCCACCTTCAGAATTTTTGTTATGGTAGTTTCTCCATCTGTCACATTCCCCGTTATTATACTTTTACAACACTTTTTCTTCCCATGCCTATCAGCAAAGAAGAATTCTACCCGCCAAAAAAGACATATTTTTTTGATGTTATGTGGCATGTACATTGCAAAAATGTCACTCATTTGGATTGGTCTGTCTGACATACTCCTTTATGAACTGATGACAGCATTGTCTGGAAAGTGCAGAGTCAACCTACTTGACGACACTTTATTCTTTTATTATTTTTCTAAAATGGTAAAAGTTACTTAATTTTTTCTAGGACAGCATTTAATTTTAGACAAGGAATTATTTGCATATTCCAAACCAGGCCTTTCATCTTTTGCCAACAATCCAGAAAAGGTAGGAATGATTTATCAGTCAAAACTGATTACAACTTCTCAGGAAACTGTTAATTTATAATTCTAATATCTCTAATTTGATAGATTTTGTTTATTAAACAAATAATGTCACCTTTAATTTGACTTGCATCTTTTTTACAATCACATTTTCAGAAATCATCTCATTTCTAGGGTGTTGCTACAATAGCAAATCTGATAGAGAAAGCTAAAAAAGAGATCCCAAAACAATACTGGTCACAAACCCCATTGATTTTGAAAGCAACAGCTGGTTTAAGGATGTTGCCTCCTGAAAAGGCCAATAAATTATTAGACTCGGTGAGGGAATACTTCAAAAAAGTGGCATTCCAGACTAATGAGAAATCTGTAGAAATTATGGAAGGGACTGATGAAGGAATCTTCTCTTGGTTTACTGTGAACTTCTTATTGGGTGAGTTCTACTTTGCTTTATGATCCTGCTTTCTAGATTCATATCAGCCTGTTATCCTGTATTACAGTATTTACAGTAAAATGTGTAAATAAAATGCTGTTGTTCATTATTAAGTATGTGAATGCCTGGGTAGATATGAGGTTATCAACTCAGTTTCATTTTCTTGTTCACAGCATATTTTATGAAGCTTGTGGTGCACAAATTGCTTATTTTAGCTCATGAAATGTGTAAGAATATGTGAGGATAATTTCAGCTAACAGTTAACGTCTGTGCTTATTCAAACATGATCAAAGGAAATTTTTGATATTTTAATATCTCTATACTGGCAGGAATAATACTGATTCATAATTTAAGTCGAATTACATAATGAGTACAGTATTTTTAAACATATATTTTAAGAAGTAATCTTTTTATAACCACTTTCAGCAGTTGTATTGAAACCCGGTTTAACAAATTTCATACAGATTGTTTTATGTATAATACTGCATTCTTTAGCCAAAATAGCTTACTATATTTTAGCGCCGATAGATTGGGAACATGTAAAATTTTTTCAGAAATTTTAATAATTTAGGACATGTTTAGGAAGCATTGTGTAAAGTTCTTGCTGATATTGCCTAATCTTTTCAGGTCAGTGATTTTTAGGGCAAATATTCATGCAAAATCGAAAGTCTCATATATCATGCATGAAGCAATCGTGCTTTTTTACGCATCTGAATGGCAACATACGTGTGAGATATCAAATAGTTACAAAAACGTAATCTATTAGGTGTAAGAGTTCCATATATCAGATATTTAACCAAGTTTAGTTTAATGGCTTTGTTCAGTTATATATGCTTGACCTTGTACTATATTTATCTTTATATTGTAATCTGCAATTTCTGCTCACAATTTTAAATACGTTTACAAAATTGTAGTTGTTTTAGACGTTTTTTCGGGAAAATGTTCATTTTTATGTTAGACTGATGGTAAACTATGGGAAATTGGGACTCTGGTTGCAAATATTATCATCAAAGAATGAATGTTGAGCCTCTCAATTTTGTCTGCTGATGATTGGTCTTGATTCCCGCACCCTATCAAGAAAATCCTTCCCATCTAGATTGTAATCAGGGATATATGACTTGATCTTATAGTAGGCCTTCAAACTCCAAAAGGTTCTTAATGGATAATTTCTATTTTCATGCAATCGAAACATAAACACTAGGACAATTTGCGACGCCGATTACGAATAAACTTGTCAAAAAATTCCAAAGTTTCAGTGAGCCCCATTTGGAGTATAAAAATGGGCGTTTAGGGACTTCCGGAAAACGGGAATCAGATTTGTGATCTTGGCGTCCATTTACCCAAAAATCGAATGTTTGTCTAAATTGCAGATACTCGACGATGTTTCTCTCCAGTAGTATCAGTTCAGACCTTAATGAAGAGCATTGATCAAACCATTATTGAATTCCCAAATTTTTATGTAGACTGTCATTCATCATGACTGATGGTGTCTCAAATCTCAGTTCTTGATATGCCATTACTTTGTTCAGTCAATATCAATAATAGCAAAAAATTTATGAAATATTGAATTGTGCGAAATTGCATGCCAATTTTAATATACAGTAATGGACAAAAGTATATAGACTAATTAATATTTTGCTGTATTTCTTTTTTAACTTGTTTTATCAATACACCTAATATTTTGTAGCATAACTATTATTATCAATCATCGCCTGTCATCGTCTCGGCATAGATTGTAGAAGTTTCTTGATATAAGATTCATCAATCTGTCTCCACTTTTCCTCTAAAGCGGCAAAAAGTTCATCCTTGTTTGGATAATTTTTATATCGAATTTGCTTATCTAAGTATTCCCATAGATTTTCAATTTGTTTTATATCGGGAGACTGTGAAGGCCATTTGAGAACTGGTATTTTTTGATCCAGAAAGAGAAGTGTACTTCGGGTCATTATCTTGCTGGAAGATTGATCTTAAGGGCATATTGTCTTCCATATAGGGTAACATGACATGCTTTAGTATGTCTGTATATACATAGTCATGCCATAAGTTCTGTCCCTCGTTTTCAAACAAGTGTAGACCTGTTAATACTTGTCCGATTGTTTACATTGTGGTGTCAGTTGATTAAGCGCTTTTCGGGTAATTACATATACCTCAGTTTGTATTGATCTCTCAAAGCATAACGATGGAGTGGGGCAAGGCAGAGAACCGTATTGCAGTGATAGCTTTACATAAGTGTAATCACAGTGCTAGTCAGATTTTTGAACTCTTACGCGGCCTTCAAATATCGCGTAAATTTGTGTCTAGGACCATTCAGCGGTACAATGAGACGTCCTCTGTTGATGACAGGCCAAGAAGCGGAAGACCTCGTCAAGTAAGGACTCCAGCAGCCATCAAAGCCGTAAAAGCCAGGATTCAAAGGAATCCACTCCGGAAGCAGAAGATCCTATCCAGGGAAATGAAGATTCCTGTCCGGACGATGTCGCGCATCATTAAACAAGACCTAGGGCTAGGGGCTTACCGGAGACGTACGGGCCAGCGACTTACGGCCACCTTGCGACACATCAGGGCGACAAGATCCAAGAAGCTCTTGGAGAGGTACGCAGCTGGGGGATTCCGAAAGATTTTGTTCACGGATGAGAAAATCTTCACCATAGAAGAAAAATTCAACCGACAAAATGACAAAGTGTATGCAAGGAGTTCACAGGAAGCTTCGGAGATCATTCCGAGAGTTGAGAGAGGCCACCACCCTGCGTCAGTCATGGTTTGGTGGGGGGTGTCCTACGAAGGGGTCACTCAGCTCCATTTCTGTAAACAGGGCGTGAAAACAAAAGCGGCAAACTATCAGAGCGACATACTGGATCCTATCGACAAGCCTTTAAGTGGTACATTGTTTGCCAACCAACACTGGGTCTACCAGCAGGATTCCGCCCCCGCTCACAAGGCTAAGAGTACGCAGCGCTGGCTGGAAAGCAATGTGCCAGAGTTCATTGCTGCGGAAGATTGGCCCTCAGGGAGTCCGGACCTCAATCCTTTAGACTACAAGTTGTGGGACCTGCTAGAGCAGTTGGCCTGCTCCAAAGCCCACCGTAATATCGAGTCCCTGAAAGCGGATTTGATCCGATCAGCGGCAGCTATTCCTTTGGAAGCTGTGCGTGCAGTGATAGATGAGTGGCCCGCGAGATTGAAGCAGTGTGTGAAGGCCAAGGGGGGACATTTTGAATAAAACTGTTTGATTATGAATTCTAAAAATGTTGTCGAATAAATAATATCTTTCATATAAATATATCTTATCTTGTTTCATTTTTATCATGAGATTATCATGGGACAGAACTTATGGCACGACTACGTACAAACTTATCCTTAATGCCATCTATTCTATGTAAACGTCCCATCCCAAACCCAGAAAAGCACCCCCAAACCATAACAGACCCGCATCCATGTTTGACAGTAGGCTAAGTGTACTTGGGGTCCACTAGGACGTCTAACGTAATGAACACCATCTGATCCAAACATATTGAACTTGGATTCGTCACTGAATCATACCCTCTTCCAGTCACAGATGCTCCAATCAAGATGCAACCGTGCAAATTGTAATCGGTCCTCACGGTTTTTCCTCGAGAATAGCGGCTTCTTACTCGGGCGACGTGCAAATAAGTTCAAACCATTTAATCTTCTACTTATAGTTTTCGTAGAAACACTGACAATTCCTTTTGTCTCGATTTCAGCTTTTGTCTTGGGGTTTTAAACGGATCTTTGGACGAAATTACGTTTATCAATCTAACTGATCTAGCATTAGTTTTCTAGGCCGACCACTTCTAGAGGCTTCCAAGATACCTTTTTGTTTATTTTTATTCAATATTGCCCAAACTGCTTCATGTAAAAAAAAGGAATTTAGTTTTTCTACTAATAAGATTTGTTTATGGAGCAATGAAGTATAAATTCGTTTTCTAAAGGTATTTAGGTAAATATTCATACTTGTCTATATACTTTTGTCCATTACTGTATGTTTGGACATTAACCCATCCTATATACATTCTTCAAAATGGCAATGTCATTTAAAAAAAACAGGAAACATCAAATCAAAACAAAAAACACTATTACATCCTTGCTTCTGAATGGTTTAAAAAGCATTCATACAATTTTCACTGATTTGGTTTACTTTTGATAAAAGTTCAAATGTTTCAGTGAATGTTTTTCTGTTTCACGCAAAATGCGGCAAATTATGACGAACATATGAGGTTTGTTCCAACAAGCAGTTCTTAAATAATTCCGAATTATTTTTTACACGCGCATAACCTAAGTACTACAGAACTAGCTCTGAATTGATATGTTGGAACAGAATTACAAGGTTTGTTGGGTTTATTAATTTTTGTCGTGCTATAAACCTTTTCTTAACTGGGAACAATAGGAGATATTTAGCTTATCCTTTTTAGAGCTGGAGATGGATTCCTCGTTTTGCCTTTAGAGAGGACGCATCTCTGTTACAGTAGCAGAGGAGGAAATTAAGAGGCATGTCAACAAATCTAAGTTATTAATTGACTTCAAATGAAATAAATTCATGACAATTATTATATCATCATCACAGTTCTCACTTCTGATTCCTATAATCAACGATAGATCTTAATTCTCACTTGAATCTGTTAAGTGACCTCCGACGTCACAATAAGCGGTTAATATTTAGCTTTGATATATGGAAAGATTTAAAAGTTAGAAAAGGTACAAAATGGCGTCTACAAAATCCAGATTATCACCTATGAACAGCCGATCATGCTGTAAATGCTCATGAGCTAACTTTTAATTCTTTCTCAGCATCAGAACTTTTAGAACCGATCTGGAATCATTACGGAATTTGTTGGTAAACAATTAGTTCCCACCTTGAATCTTGGTATCGTACCAAAGCCATCCAGTTGTCATTTGATACGCTTTTATACGCATGCGCTGACTGGTCATGATGCCCGAATTGTTTCTGGACTGGAGGGTGGTTGGAACGATTTTGGAATCGTTTTTGTAACTATGAGGTGACAGATAGCCCCTTCTTCACTATTCATCGCAATGAAAGCTGGGCAATATCAATAAATCATCTTTAAATATAAAATACACAGGCTGTCAAAGCACAGTTGAAGTTCCTTTGATTCTCCTTTTGATGGAGGTACGAGGTTCCGAGATGGAAGGAATGCAGAACTGTCTCTTTACGATACCGAAGATGTTGGAACAGTTTTTCCTAAATGAATTGAAACAAAAGCTAAAGAGAAACTGCCAGTTATCGAATTGTTTCTGTAATTTTAATCTGCGCATGCTCTGTTCAATTCAGAACTAGTTCACAGATTTGTTGGAATAAAGCTAGTGTTGCCGACCGCAGACGCTATCGATACTTAAAACATTATTTTTTCAACAGATCTCTTATATCGACTAAATTCACACTCTTTTAAAGAACGAATCGGCGGCGATCCATCCCGCACAGTTGCCGCCCTCGACCTCGGAGGCGGTTCGACTCAAACGACATTCGCCGCAACTACGCCAGCCAGTCTCAAGGATACCGAACACATCCACCGGGCCCAGTCCCCTAGGGGCCTTATCCAGGTGTATACGCGCAGCATGGAGGGGCTGGGGTTGATGGCAGCCAGGTATGCTGTCATCACGGGACATGGAAACGGCGGGAATTTGAACGTCACCAGCGAGTGTGTCAACCCGGTGGTTAGAGGCAAGAAGTTCCATTATAGCGGTAGGTATTTAAATACGAGGGTGGTCCCGAAAATTTTGTAAAAAAATGTATTTATTTTTCAACATAATCTCCTTTGAGCTCTACACACTTTTCCCAGCGATGTTCAATAAGTTCGATACCCTTTTTATAATAAGAACTGTCTTGCTCCTCAAAACAGCCATTAACTGCCGACATCACTTCTTCATCGTTGGAAAATCTTGGACCACTGAGCCATTTTTTCAAGTTTGGAAACAGAAAATAATCCGAGGGGGTTAAATCTGGTGAATAGGGTGCATGAGGTAGTAATTCAAACTTTAATTCTTTAATTTTGGCCATTGCAATAACGGATTTGTGAGCTGGTGCATTGTCTTGATGAAACAACACTTTCTTCTTAACCAAACGTTGCAATAAGTTCGCATAATACGCGCCTTTGATAGTTTTACCTTTTTCAAGATAGTCAATCAAAATCATCCCACGCGCATCCCAAAAAACCGACGCCATAACCTTGCCTGCAGATGAAACGGTCTTCGCCTTCTTTGGAGCCGGTTGTCCCTTTTGAGTCCATTGTTTTGATTGTTCTTCTTCTCTCGGGTGTGAAGTGATGGACCCGTGTTTCATCCATGGTTATGAAACGACGCAAAAATTCTGCTTTGTTGCTGTGAAACTTCGCTAAACACTCAATTGAAACATCTTCACGACACTGTTTTTGCTCGATTGTGAGTAATCGTGGCGCCCATCTTGCACACAGCTTTCTCATGTCTAAATTTTCAGATAATATGCGATAAAGCCCACTTTCTGAAATGCCTACTATGTCTGCTAGCTCACGCACTTTCAGTCGACGATCATTCAGTACCGCTTTGTGAATTTTCTTCACCATTTCTGGAGTCGTCACCTCATTTGGTCGACCACTGCGATGCTCGTCTTGGCAGCTCATACGGCCTCGTTTAAACTCTGCTACCCAATATTTCACTGTTGTAAACGAAGGAGCAGATTCACCCAGAGTAAAATCCAGTTCAGCTTTTATGTTGGTTGGGCTGAGACCTTTGAAATAAAAGTATTGTACCACATAACGATGACCAATTTTCTCCATTTTCACAAATTCACTGAAAACGTTCAGTATTGATGGCTGCCAAACACAACGTGGCGTCTTCAAACTTGACACATATGCTTTATAGGTTACATACTTTCTAATACAATGATATTTTTCAAACAACTATCGCCATCTCTAAGACAGGCCGGGTACTTCTGGGACCACCCTCGTATATGTTTATATATGCATCCGAACCAATAATCATAAAGCTGTTATTTTTTCATGAAAAATGAGAAATACTATGACGTTTTTTCCGATTCTGCCACTCACCATGTCAATAGAGAAAAAATAGAGAAAGCCATACAACTCCCCCACCTGGCCTTATAACATATGGTGCCTTTGAGCAAATAAAAAAATTATGACAAGTAGTTTGACTCTGCACTCACCTCGCAACAGTTTTTAAAAGTTTAGGTTTGGAACAGGTTATCCCCTCTTGCAAAAAATAAACTGTGACTCTGATTCTCAAACCTTTCACTATCATATTTCAACTGAAATATGTTACTTAACACTTTTGTGTTGTGCCAACGTTCACAAAATCGCAACCTCATCAGCGGTTAGTTCCGTTCTAGTTCGCGAAAGGTTTATCTTTTGTCTTTTTATTTCAAAAAATAATGCCACTAATCCCTTGTATCTCCGCCACTGCTGTACGTTAATTTTGAGTAAAGACAGTAAAGAAATTTTAGATCATTCCAGTTGACCGTTTTAATGATTTTTATTTTTAAACTTCAACACCTATCTTTTTAATGAAGGTCTCGAGAAAAAAATGCATAGAAGACCCCCGTAAAATGCGGTCCTGTGTACGATGTTTCATTTTGTCCAAGACTTGTGAATCACCCTGTATGTACTTTCTGGTTACTTCCATTAATCTGTGTCTGTATATTTGTTTATTTATTTAATTTCAGGCACCGATTACTACATATCCGGCCTACAAGAGAACTACCCCAAATCTCACGTGAAAGGAAGTGATATCGAAATTGGTGAGGATGTCCCCATAGTGAGTTTCTCTAACTGCTCTGAGATCATCGTGAAATATGTGAAGAGCAAAGCCCACGCCCCTGAGGAGCTGCCTTTGAAGACCATCGTGGCTTTTAGTTATTATTACGACAGGGCCGCCGAAGCTGGACTTATTGGTGAGTATACGAGACGAAAACATGATAGATCGATTTTTCTTTCATAGACTCGGCCAACTGCCATATAAAAATGAACGATTAACCGACATAATCAATCACCCGCAGTTTTTCTTATAATTCGGCAGTTCTATATAATTCGTTGGAATATTCCTTTAAATGTATGAGCTTAGCAAGTTTTCGTAAGCATGTAAGGATCAGGCTGCTTGACTGATACTATCCTTTCCACATTCATCATCCAATCAGACTTTATATTTATTACGTTGAGAAGCTAATATTATTATTAGGCGCATGATATATATGTATATATAGGTATGTGTATGTGTGTGTGTATATGTGTATATATGTGTGTATGTATGTATGTGTATGTATATGTATGTATATGTATGTACATGTATGTATATATATATATATATATATATATGTATATAATATGTTTTGAATTTAATTAACATCACTGTATTTATTGATTCAGCTGGTTAAGTGTAAGAGTAGCATTGCTAAACTTCGCCAGTTGAGTCCCACTTTCAGTATGTACCATGTACATATTTTTTTGTAATAAAGGCGTATATTATTATTATTAATTCCCAAACCTAATAATCCATTTATGAATTGTTTTTTAGATGAGTCAACTGGTGGTCAAATAAAAGTGAAGGATTTCAGGACAGCTGCAGAAAAAGGTATGTGTTCAGTTGGTGAATTAGTTTATAAATAAATAAAATATGTTTTGAACCAACAGTTTTTTTTAAATACAAAGAGCTGTCGTGGAACAGTTTTTGAATACAATTTTCTTTATTTCTAGTTTGTCACGACGCAAATGCGGATCAACCATTCATGTGTTTTGACTTGACGTTCATATGGGCACTTTTAGAAAAAGGATTCAATTTGAATGAAAATACCAAAATATATGTAAGTATATTTTACGTTCGTGTCAGAAAATGCCCACTTTGCTACTATACAATGGAAGGATTTCTTTTAAAGGATGAGGTTTTAAAAAATGTATCACTCATATTTTTTCATCCGCAGCAAGTGATACTGACTAAATGTTTTTAAAAACTCTCGTGAAATATCATAAGATACATGTTTATATAGGAACTTGTTGCATTTTTTACAAATCTAGAGGTTCCATACTGTAGGTCTCTCACGAAACTTATGAAATAAAAACATTCAGCTTTAAGGAAAAGTTAATGGAAGCTTTTTTGTTCGGAAAGATCCAAAAACCCTAAAAAAATACTAGCCCGGGCAAAAAAATTGTTTAAACAATTGGTGCAAAAACATAAAAATTGGTTAAAAATTATAATTTGCTCTACAAGTTCTTGAAGAGTATTTTGAGATTCGTTTATTTTAATACGATTTCAAACCTTGTTTTTTAGGCCAAATTTGTCGAACTTTTGGTTTTCGCAGACTGTACCTGTGACTGGAAAAATCATTTACGTCATGTCACCAAAAATACTCCCGATTGAACGTGTTAAGGAACGTCAGAATTTTTTCATAATTTTTTGGTGGAATTCCTAATTATTCATTATGTGTTATAGAGAGACGCATACAAATGCCAAATATCGCCACGATTCCCTTCGCGTCGCTTTGCCTCAATGAAATAGAAATACAAATAAAGTGTCTTGTTTTCAGCTGTACAAGAAGATTAATGGACACGAAACAAGTTGGGCGCTGGGAGCAGCATACAACATGCTAAGAGGTTGACGGGAACGAATGAATAAATAGATATTAGATCTTTTTATACACTGGATATCATCCTTGCACATTTTTTTAACTATTGTGGATGTGCCTTAAAATTTTATTTATGTTATGTGGTATAGGCTGTGCAAAGATTCCATACACTCGGTTTCTGTGTTTATAACAATAAATACAGTTTTAGTATTTTCGTTCTTGTTTCATTCATCGCACATTTTTGTGAGTTGTCACACCTAAACGTCGAATTACTATCACTAACAAGTAGTTTTGATGATATTTTACCAATAGCTAGAAGTCCACCCAGTTACTGAAATCAGAGTAGCATCAAATAGGTAGACTTCTACGCTTCTCAAGACGCGAAACTGTGCCTTCTGATATAACTTTTCATGCAGTGAAATTATAAAAAGATAAACCAAAGTATTTTCAAAAGACTAGTACTTGACTGTGCATGAGAGAGTGTGGATGTTACACAATCTCGCCAAAATGGCTGAACGGATCTTGATGAAATTTGGAACACAGACAAATTATAGTCTGGAATATCACATAGGCTAGTTTTAACCATAAATTGAATGCAAGTACAGTGTGCATCAACTTGCATGTCCTACTTACGCAAGCGGTATATGCTAATGTAAACTCCCCTCAAATCAAAGTGGGACATAATTTTTGGAGAGGAGCGATATATATCAATTGAACTATATTTTTGCTCCGTAATAAGAAAAATTCAAGTTTACTTACTGATCACTCCGTTTTAACTACACTAACCAACACTCTTTTTCCTGAATAAAGTAACATTTCAATGCATTAAAAGGGAGAGTAAAAACTGAACAACTGCATTGTTTAAATCACCCTCAATTGTCTTTAAATCAAAGCCTACTTGGATTTAGTTGTATGACGAGGTAGGTGACTCATAATACAGCTCGGCGTATTGAACGGTGCCTAACTCCAATTATAATTGTATGGTGGTACGACTGTTTGACGTTATCACTTGAATGTTACGTTGACGTTGACAGTTTACTACCAACGTACCAACATAAAGGTTCTTCATTTGCAAAACAAAAATGGTGAGTGTTGTACCTTTTCGAAATTGCCTTTCATCTAATTATTTCTCAATCATCCTAACTTGTTTTTTCTATTAACTATGACAAAAATAATCTTCCTTGTTGAGTTTATAGTCCCATAGCGAGATTTCTCACGTATAGCTTGGATTTGGTCAAACTTTCTCAAAACACTGATAGTGAGGTTATATTACAATGAAAAATATGTTGTTTGCAGTCCACCCACAAAAAGAAGACCAGGAAGCTCAGGGGACATGTGAGCCACGGGCACGGTCGTATCGGTAAGTTGGCTTATGACGGCTATATTCATTTTTAATCTTTTCGATGATGATACGCGAACGGGCGGTATGATACCAATTAGTGATGGGATCATTCGAATGAAAAATAATCGGTCATTCGATTATCAAAATCATTCGAGATATCTCGAATACTTCAACCAAATGATTCGAATGATAATTCACTCTTCAATCAAATGTGTGACCGCTCGAAACAAAATAAAACCGATGCTGCCGCTGCGCGTCTCGCACCAGATGTCTCGAGCGATCATTCGTGAATCATCTTTCGCATGCAGCAACGCGTGAGCAGTGAGCCCAGCCGTATCTATGAAATAATTGGCGGTCTGGCCCGAAAAGTGGTAGGCAGGGCCGGCGTTAGGAACATAGGTGTAACATAGAGTACATAGACTGTTAAGAATCAAAATATATAAATAAATGTGTAGTGTGAAAACAAAAAACTATTACTATGCATTATTGTCTAACATACGTGAGTTCTATGTTAAATGATTTCCGAGCGCACGAAAAAAAGTGGGAGGGGGGGCGGCAGAATTGGGCTTGCCCGTGACGTCAAAAGTCTTAGCGCCGGCCCTGGTGGTAGGTATATTTCGACAATTTCGACTGAAATAGGAAGAGCTACCAAAAAAATGCGCTTGAGAATTTATGTTGTCGCATCGTAATTTTATTATTATGTGTGGTAATATAATCGAATCACAAATCTAAATTTTCAAGCGCATTCTTTTGATAGCTCTTTCTATTTCGATCGAACTATTTTTTTTATTAGTTGGGAATAACAATATAGGGTGCCTTAGCAGATTTCTCTCAATAGTTTTTTTAACGTATATTATGTGCCAAGTGGCGAAAGTTTATTTCAATTTTATGCATATTAGTTTATCTGATTATTAATTATATTTATAACAGCAGTAATTTATATTGATTTGATAATTTCATATTCTATCTTGGTGTTAAAACTTAAAACCTCAAACTCAATACATGATTGGAATTGAGCATTCATTACCTATAACTTTATTCCTTGCAACAAAATATGTAATAATAATAATAATAAATCTGCTTGGAAATATGTAACATAATAACAGAAAAATAAAACTAATGTTAACAAAAAGTTTATTTAACTTTGGTTTAAAACTGGAAAAATAAACATTTATTCCTAAAACAAACTTATTGTTCTGAACAGTAAAATAAAACTTAATTACATTTCTTAAACTTTGATTTAAAACTGCAAACATAATATATTATTATATAGGTTAATTTCTAAAACAAAATATTAGAATAATAATAAAATAAAATAATAAAATTAAACTTCATGACATAACAAAATATTTGTACCATACAAACATAAACTCTGAATTAATAATACTAGTCTAAATTAGAACTATTTAAAAAAATTATTTGGTCTAAGTTTTTTGGAGATAGGCGATTTCGTCTTAAGTTGGTTAGTTGTCCACATTTCGAAAATATCCTCTCCGAGGGTACAGATGTACCAGGAACTGTTAAATATTTAAGTGCAAGCTCATAGAGCTCAGGCATACTTTGTTTGTGTGCTTTCCAAAATTCTAATGGATTTTCTTTTCGATTTACAAAAGGCAGTTCCAAGTATTGACGAATTATTAAGGTAGCAACAGTAGTAGGGGTAACTGTCGACTTCACTGTAGATAACCTTGTGTCAAAATTTAACCAAACTCCGAAATCATTGTCTTTGGATGGATTTTGATTACTTAAGTCATCTTCCTGTCTATTTTCCTCCAAGTCATTTATATTTAGTTCATTTTTCTTTCTTATCAGTTGGACCAGTTCTTCAAACACCCATTTCTGAGCATTAGAAGAATTCGTTTCGTTCCCGAATCCCAACTTTTTGAACCTTGGGTCCAAAAATGAACACTTCGCGACAGTCTTATTTACTTCAAGAATTCCAAGACGACGTGAAATAATATCTACTAAATCATTTTTTAAAAGAGTGCAGACCTCATTTTCAGTACTGAAACGTACTAGCGCATGCTGCAATCCTCTTATGAGTGGTATTATTGAAGACATTGTAGGGTACTTTTCGCCAGATAGGATTGTGGTGATAACCTCCACTGGCTTCAAAATAGGAATTAAATCTTTTATTATAGTCCATTCTTGAGCATCTAAAAATTCTGGAGCACTGGAAATACTGGTAATAGTAATACTCAAGGAATCTTTTATCACCAATAATCTTTCCAGCATTACTAGACAAGAATTCCATCTTGTAGGAACATCTTGCTTCACTTTAAGAACAGGAAGCCCCATCTGCTCTTGCACCGCTTTCAATTTATTAGAAGCATTGTTGCTGTGTTTAAAATGTCCAACAATACTCCTACATTTTTTTAGTATCGCGCTTAATAAGGGCTTTCCATTAAGTGCCTCATTTACACTCAAATTAAGAGTGTGGGCCACACATGGATGGTGATGTTTGTTCAGTATTTGCACTGCAGTTTTTATGTTTGCAGCATTATCTGAAACAATTGTAGACACCTTTTCAAATATGTCCCATTCTTGCAAAACTTCTTTTACGGATAATGCTAGATTTTCTCCTGTATGAGAATGTAGCATTTCCCTTGTAGCTAAAGCATTGGAATGCATTTTGTCACTATATATAAAATGGCAAGTAATAGTGATATATGATTTATTACTATCTGAACTCCAACAGTCCGTAGTGATTGCAATATTATTTGTTTCGCGCAACATATTTTTTAATTTTAATTTTTCTCTTTCGTATAATTGTGGGATAAGCATGCTTGAAAGCTTTTTCCTACTCGGCAAATTATATAATGGTTGAAGCCTTTTAGAATATTCAATAAAGCCTTCGTCTTCGACAATAGATAAAGGCTGATAGTCTTTTACTATCATTTTTACAAGGGCATTATCTATTTCAATTATGTCCACGTCAGTCAATTCATTGGTTTTAGCGCCAAATAATTTTAATTGCTTTCTTCGCTTTAGGGGTGGAGGATGGAATGTTGAGTCATTCGATGAACCCGTTCGATTTTCTCCTATTATTTCATCGGTTTTACTTGATGGACCAGCTTCATCTTCTTTGTGCTTGAATGAATTCACTTTTTGGTCATTATTGTCTAAATCCTTGTCGTTATTGGGTGGTTCATTTGCTAATAATTGAGTTGCATGCAATCGCTTCAAATGTTGATTCAAATTTGTAGTATTCCCAAAAAATTTTAGTTCTTTTTTGCAAATATTGCATTGCACAAAATTTGTGTTGGAAGATTTTTTAAAATATTCCCAAACGACGGATTTTTTAGCACCAGGTCTCATAATTCTATCAGGCATGGGCAAATTATAATAAATCGGTATTTAACGAATTTGATTTACGCTGTGGCTAGAGTCCCGGTACCGGTAACAAAATTATTCCCGGTAGAATTGTTGCAATTAAAACATAATAATAAAAAGTACAATTATTTTTTCACAGAAAAACTTACACTTAGATTTATTTTAAGGCACTGGATATTCGTCCGTACATGTGCGGTCGATGTGACGTTTTGTTTAAACGGCCGCACATTCGATATTCTTGCCTAAGTTCGATCAGGTGAATGGTTTATTGAAATGTTAGTACATATTGAAATATTATTAAAACCTCTAAAGAAAGCGCTAACCTAACCGGACGATTAATTTATTTTAAGCAGTGCAAATTAAAACATGTACGGCCGTTTAAACAAAACGTCACGTCGACCGCACATGTACGGACGAATATACACTACCTTATTTTAATTTACCCAAGCCTGATAAAGTTAGTATTAAACAAAACAGACAAGACGAACGTAAATCACCCGCAAAAGAAAAACACCACTGAGCGAAACACCACCCGTCACGTCACGAAGTTCGAAAACAACTAAAACAAAATCATTCATCAGTGTTGCCACAGCGTTGTGGCCAAATTACTTGCAAGTACCAGACAGTTTTACTTGCAATTCCTTGCAAATACCTGACAGTTTACTTGCAATTACTGGCAAAGTTCAATGTTTTTATTCGTTTAGTTATGACAGGTATTCGAATCTCCTTCAGGTCTAATTCTACCGATTCTACCGCTGAATGAATTTTTGGTGAACCTGTGCTATGACTTCTCATACCTCCAAACACAACCTCCAATTCCGAGTGACGAGTGTTCCGCAAAAATAGATGTATATCTACCGACTGATTGATTCACGATGAGTATTCATATTTCAGTCAGTACGGCCATTTTTACTCCTCAGTGCTCTGCTAAGACTCAAGACTGCTGCGGCTTGACAGTCACAGCGGCTTTATGGTCCCGAGAAAAATGACAGATAACAGAAGCACCTACTTAGTGATCATGCGTTCTATCCCGATTTGTTTTTTCACTTCAGCTGGCTCGGCTCCATGTTCTAGGTTGAATCCCGCACGCCGTATCATAGAATGTTATGCTAATATGGCAACTGTTACGAATGTTTTAATCCATAAAATATGAACATCGCATCAATTACTTGCAAATTCCTCCAGAGCACCCATTCCTTGCAAGTTTACTTGCAAAGCTCCTCATTCCTTGCAAATGCAAGTAATTACTGGCAAAGCGGCAACACTGCAATCGTTGTTCAAATCGCTCGCGGCGTCGCGGCAGCGAGAAACGAGAATCAGAAATCAGAACTGCTGACTGAACGATGTTTACAACATGTGAATGATCATTCGAGTGATATATCGATTCTTAAAATCATTCGAATACTAACTATCCGATTATTAGAATCATTCGATTCTGCCCATAGCTAATACCAATGATTCAAGTTCGCTTCTGACTGTCCTTAAAAAGTATATGCGTGTTTTTATATATTCCAGCAATACTCTAATCCAGAATTGCTTTGCAGGCAAACACCGTAAGCACCCTGGAGGTAGGGGTAATGCTGGTGGCATGCACCACCATAGGATTAACTTTGACAAATACCATCCCGGTTACTTCGGTAAGGTAAGCCAATTTTATCAAGTATTTCGTTTTGTTCAAGTGATATACAGTGAAGTTGTAAAGAAATATTTCACAAACGTGTCTCTCAACGTATGTGATGAAGAACAACTGTAGGGTGTTTTTATACTTTTATCCGATAAATCTTGAGTATTACTGGATGTACTTTAAACATTTTTGAAATAATGAAAAAACAGCTGGTTTTATCAAGAAAGTATGAGAATATGTAGTTTCAACATATGTAGTTTGTGACAGTATTGTCAACAATGTACAATATCTTGTAATAGAGGTGAACATCAGACACTGTATGAACCTTTTTCTTTTTTAAAGCTTGGTATGAGGAACTACCATGTGCGTAGGAATTCAAAATGGTCACCTGCCATCAACTTAGACAAGCTGTGGACCTTGGTCAGTGAACAGACTAGGATTAAGTACAAGGACCACCCTGAGGGCAAAGCCCCTGTTATTGACATTGTTAAAGCTGTAAGCACATTTATTTGTATCAGTTTAATGTAACTTCAACTATATTAATCTTGCGATCAACATTTTATCTTTATTCAGTTGCAGTTTAAATATTTTACTGGTATTTGTAAATTTATTTGTTTGAGAAATTTAGATTCACATGTTTTTAATGATGATTTAAGCAACGGGCGGACATAATTTTTTTGCTGAATGTTGTTAACTGATTCTATTCATGTTTCATATATCTTATTAAAGATATATGATCAGTTTGATTTTAAGTGTTTTTTTTTTGTTGCAGGGCTACTACAAATTGCTAGGCAAAGGACGCCTGCCCCCACAACCAGTCATTGTGAAGGCCAAGTTCTTCTCAAAGTCTGCAGAAGATAAAATTAAGGCAGTAGGCGGTGCCTGTGTCCTATCAGCATAATTATAAAATAAGTTGTGAATAAAAATTTTTACAAATCAGCTTGTTTCAGTCCTCAAACCACGTCATTTTAACAATTACAGTGAAAGCTCCCATAAGCGGACACTCACGGTTCCGTAACTTTTGTCCGCTTATGGGAGGTGTCCGTTTAAAAGAGAGTATGTAAGTATAGAGTATAAATAACGGGGTATATAATCATGAGGAAATGAGGTATTATAATCATGAGAAAAATGAAACAGAAATTCGCCACATTTTTAAAGTATGTATTTATGCTATATATCTATATAATATATGTACATATACGCATACAAAAACATAAATGGTTCAATACATGGTACGAGAATTTTTAAAAAACATTATTCTTTAGCTTGTTGAAAAAAGTTTAAAATGTTTGTCTGACGAAATTTCACCATCTTTTGCTGAAGGAGACAATTTTCGTAATAACTTTCTAAATTTTTCAAATGTTGAAATGCAGTGAAATCATCTTTAGCAAATTTTTTCAATATAGAAATATGATTTAGAGCTTCCCCATATGAATTTATCGTTTTTGAACCGCTTAGTGAGTCCACCAGTTCCACTTCCATTTTCTTCTGTTGTTATGTTATTGTCTATGGCCAGGAAATCATCTACTTTCTGGGGATCTGCTACTCCTAAATGTTTGGCATGTCGCAGTAACTGAGCAAGTGTCGCTAAGGGCAGATCGTCTTCAGCATCGCAATAATTTTGCTCAGCAAATTCTGAGCTACATTCACTTTTTCTGAATCCAGCTTTGCCAAAACAGTTTTTAATTGTAGAGGAATTTACTTTATTCCATGCTGTTTTTATAAAATACAAAGCTTCTAACACATTGATAGACTTTGTAAGCTCAGATAAGCTTTGACCATCGTCAATTTTTGTTAAAATATGTTTTAAAATCAAGTGCCGATAATAAAATTTAAAGTTCTGTATGACACCTTGATCCATGGGCTAACAAACAGAAGTTGTGTTTGGCGGTAAAAATATAATTTTCACATTTTTCATTTTCATATCACGAGGATGAGAGCATGCATTGTCTAAAAATAAAAGAACTTGCCTTTTTTGGATTCTCATTTTCCGGTCGAATTCGACTAACCACTCAGACATGATTTGTCGGGTCATCCATGCCTTTTTGTTGGATTTCCAAGTCGCTGGTAAATCCTTAATAGCAACGTTTTTTAAAGCACGGGGACGAGCCGCTTTCCCGATCACAATCAAATCGCATTTTTCACCGGCCATATTTGCACAGAATAAAATGGTTAGTCTATCTTTGGACAACCTTCCACCCACACATGTTTCTCCTTTAAAGGACAGAGTTTTGTCGGGCAATGCGCGAAAAAAAAGTCCACTCTCATCTGCGTTGTACACATCTTCTGGTTTGTAGCCAAGCAACATGGACGGAAGTTTCTCCAAAAATTGTGACACATCAACTTGATCTACTGCAGCAGCTTCGCCAGATATGCATTTGAAACTTACACTATGTCTCTTGCGCCACTTTTGCAGCCACCCGTCGGACGCACTGAAATTATTATAGCCCAAAGTAGTGGCGATTTCTTTAGCTTTCATTTTCACTAACGGCCCTGAGATTGGAATGTTCTGACTTATAGCTTTCACAAACCACTCAAAACATGTTTTGTCTATAGCAAAACCTTCCTTTTTTAAAAAATCCTTCTTTTGATTTATATTAGTTCCTGATTGCCATTTACTCCTGATATCTTCCTTATTTTTGGCAATTTCAGCTGCTTGCGTTTTCCCAATATTAAACCTCTTTGCCAAATGACGAACTGAAACACTTTCTCTGTCTAATACGTTAACAACTTCCATCTTTTCCTTTAACGAGAGCATCCTTTTTTTTGGTGCCCTTTTACAGTTACAATAATAAAATACGTAACTCAATCAACTACGAATTCGCCTGAACTGAAGACAAGCCACAAGATTACATACAGGCTACCCAACGAAATGCGTAAATGGGGAATCACCTAATATAAATCGGGGAATTACCGAATTTTATGTATGTAGATATGTGCATTGCAATAAGCGGAACTAAAAAATCGTCCGGGTATTAGAGTTTCGCGTCCGCTTATGGGAGATTTTTTGATCACATACAGGAAAATCTAGTGTCCGCGTCCGTTTATAAGAGCGTCCGTTTATCGGAATGCATTTAACATTGAAAATTGATGGCTGAAATTCGGTTCCAGGAACTTTGTCCGGTTAAAAGAGATGTCCGCTTATAGGAGCTGTCCGCAAGGAGAGCTTTCACTGTAGTTCAATCTTCATTAAGATATTTAAAAATTACTGTCTATTTGGTTATTCATTTGCACAAGTTTCAATATATAAAAAACTCAAATTGTGCGAAATGAAGTAAGTTGTAGTTTAGAAGACTGTTGAGTTCACTATTGTTTTAATTAATATATGAGTAAAGATAACATGGCCATGCAAGACAATTATTGAAATATACTCTACTAAGCTCTATAAGACTAGCGAAATTTTTCCCAAATCGTTGCGCAACACTTGAAAAAGTTGCAAAATTGACTTTCAAAATGGCCAGTTGGTACCCCCTAGTTTGTATTTTATTTTACGAAAACAACACTAGGAAAAAACTAATTATTTGTAGCAAATTGAAGGTAAAACTCAAAAAAAAAACGCCTACAATTTTTATTTGGAAAAATAATGCCACTAATCCTCTGTATCTCCGCCACTGGTGCAAGTTAATTTTAAATGAAGACAAAACTTTGGTAAGTCTACATACCAAATTTCAGTTGACGGTTGTGAAGATATTAAAAAAATTGTTTTTTAGTTTTAAACTTCAACGCAACGTATCTTTTTAATGCAGCCCTTGAAAAAATGTTACATAGAAGAGCCCCCCCTTTAAATGTGGTCCTGTGTTTGATTTTTTCACGACTTGTGAATCACCGTGTATTCAACGCCCCAAATTATCTTATAATCTATCTTATACAAAGCTTCGACGGCCATCGATAAGAAAAATGGATTTTTAGCGCCCAAAACTTAAAAAACGCATAGTCTTTCGCTAAATAATTAGCTCTACATGCTTAACGAGATTAGATTCATGTGAGGTAACATCTGATTCGGCTTTGACAACAAAAAGTACGTACGATAGAGGTCATTTGAACCGCACTTAAGCATTTTAATTTTTGAAGGTATTATTTTCTAAAATTGAAAAGATGGGTCAGTGAAGCAAACCATTCTTATAATACGTTTTTTGAGCTGCTAAAACCGAATCCAAGGTCAATTCAGTCCTAAAAGTCCTCGTTTTCGAGATAATGGCAAGAATCCCACTTTGTCAAAAATCGACTAATAAAAAATCTCCAAAAACTGTTGCGAGCCTATCATCTAGATGGAAGCTCGTTTTCTAAGTAAATTGTGTGCGTAGATTCCGAATTTGATGGCAGTTTAGCGCTAGGATTCACAGGTAGCCTCGAGTTAAAAGTTTTTTAAGGATTTCACCCCAAATAAATGTCCGATAACCCTTTAGAATTGGTTTTCTATGATGCTCATATTCAGTACCCCAAATTACTTTACTGTACAAAATTCCGCTCACATCTAGCCATCGATAATAAAAATGGGTTTATTGCACCCTAAAGTCGCAAAAATGTATAGTTTTGCAATTTTTAGCTAAGTAATTAGATCTACATGTTTAACGGGATTAGATACAACATATGAAACGACACCGGATTTGACTTTCGAGACTCAAAGTATGTACGATAGAGGTCATTTGAACCGCATTTTAATATTTAGTTACCATGTTTCAAAACTGCAAAAAATTGGTCAGTCGGGAACATGAGACCAACCAACATTTTTTGGGGCGCATTCAGTCCAAAAATGCCAAGACCACTCGTAATAAAAAATACTCCGACACTGAACACTTATAAATTCCCAGTTTTCGGTTGGTTCGTACAGTGGTCGGCAGGGTTGCCAACCGCTCAGTTTTAAGTGTAGATTTACAGCTTTTCATAAATCTTTCAGGTTTTCAGTTCGGGGCCTTCAATTCTACAGTTTTTCGTTTAAGATGCTCGCGCTGTCTGTATCTGTATATTTACAGTTTTTTTAAAAATATTCTACAGTTTTTTTCAAGCTCATATACAGTTATTCTCTCAGATGGGGTTGGTAACGCTGGTGATTGGTGACTGTGTCAGGGATCTGGCCATGTGAATTTAGTCTATACAGCGTATCAGAATGAGCGGAATTTGTGTGGCGGGATCCTGGACACGGTCACTGGCAGGTGACGACACCTGTACGAACAGGGTTTTAATAGGGTAAAATATTTTTTTTTTACTTTTTCTTTAATGGAAAAAAACATCGTTTTACTATATAAATATATTTAATATCTATGAAATCTAAAATTACATGATCATCAATAGGAGAACTGATTTTCATTTTTTCTACTATTTATTAGGGGAATATGTTTTTTTTTTGGTGACTGCATTCGCACTTGGGCGAGGGAAACCCCTAGAAAACCTCAACCGTCACTGATCAGATTAATTGTATCAGGTGAAGAAAAATCAAGTCGTTCCACAATTCTGGATTCATTTGTACAATCGAAAACCTATAACCCGCCCCAGCATGCCTCAGTTATTAACCTGCAAAAAAAGGAGCATTAAAATAACGGTTTATACGAGGGTCATTTTTTAAGTAAGGACCGTTTTGTAATCGAGTCGGAGAAATTTTATTTATGATTGTAAATTGTATCTCAAACTAAAATATGAACTTTTTCTTATTTTTTTAACACAGTCATCGTATACATTTGAACACAATTCAAGTCGTGGCACCAGTTTTTGGTTAATGTAGCATCTAAAACTCATCTTGTGGTTTTCATGTCAATAATCTCCCACATTTTTCTAATAATTCTTTATTGTAAACGTTTCCGTAACAATGACTTTGGCAATATATTTTATCTATCTTCCAGGTGACACTTTTTTTTTCATTTTCATATTCCTATACAGTGTGTTACTAAACTAGTGTGAAAAGTCCTGTAACATGCTGAGATTGCGTGAAATGATCATTCCAAATTTTAAGATGGCACCACGCAAAACCAGCATAGCACAGGACCGCGTGGGGGTACGAATTCCCTTTCCCAAAAGGCAGCAAAACGAAAACCAAGCATGAGTTTTTTTGTCTTCGGCTAAGTGTTGCTACCTCAAAATTAGCACTAAGCGAACGCGTATGGGAAACAGAACATAGAATAAAATGGAATGAAGTCTCGATACTACACAAAGATGATATCAATTACAAAAGGAATTTAAAGGAATCAGCCGAAATAAATTAACCAATAATTGTCTTTCAAGTTCTTCTATGACCCAAGCTGGTTGAATATACTCGAAGGAAAGACCTAATTGATATTCTCCAACCCAACTAATTGATCATGAGTTTTTTATAGCAGCGTAGTGAGAGCGCAATTGGTTCTTACTTTAAAAACGCCACTCGAAGTTCACTGACATCTTTCTGATAAGTTATTAGAAAAGTAAAATTTGAAGAAAACTTTCTTCTATGGCGTCGCTGCTTTTTTCAATATGTTTCAGAAGTTATATTTCCTGGTTAGCTCGACTTATCGGGTAAGACGTCAGTGAAACAAACAATAAATGAGTTTAAGATTGTGTAAAAAATACCTCTTCATTATTTCAATTCGCAATTCAATTGATGTTCATTCTGCATGTACCAGCCTGTAATCATCTTCAAGAACGTGAAGGAGTATAACTTTCGACCTCGGAATGTTATTTTCTCACATATGTCCCGTATTTTTAGAAACACAGGTTTATCTACAAAGAGAGAGTTCACATTAGTACTCGCATTTAAATAATACCTCTGCTTATTTTGGAACATCAAGTTGGATCTGTATTTCAAGAATAATAGCAAAAAAGTACAGTTTTGAAGATATATCTCTTGGAAACGATTCCAAGATCCTCAGCCTATCTATACTTCAATGGTTCGTGAAGTTCAAAACCAACCTTCTTGATGCCATACTCTCCAATGCTTACCCTGTAAAAATGTTGATATTTGTTTGATTGCTGTTTTCGTATATTGCAGCATACTATAAATCGGGGCTTCAATCATTCTTAAGATATTTCTATTGTTCCTATTCATCCTCTATCTTTACCCATCAACATTCATCCAGCTATCCAGGCAGAATATTGTTTGAAACAGGTGTTTATGATTATCATCAATATTCATTATATCACATTTATCACGCTCGGGATTGTCTATAACTGTGCCATTCCTGAAATTAGGACTGTCCTCCCTGCAAAGCTTGTTAAAAATATTTGGGCTACGATTTTGAAAGGAAGCCTGAAAGTTTTCAGACAGCAGTTCTGTAAAATATGTAAGAACTAGCTAAAAAAATATATGCTCGTAAAATATGTACCTAATACAAATATTAAGTAACAATGTAATTTAAAATTATTATAAATATATCTTTATCATAGTTCAAAACCGTTCCTGAAATACGAAATGTCCCCACTCTCACCTAAAAGCTGAAACAAAACAAAGAAAAACAGTTGCGCTACAATTTTAAAGCATAAATCATCATTGGCGACATACCTATGAAATACGAAATAAGAATTGTGGTAAGCCATTGTGCTTGTAAATATATTTTCTCGATAAATGGAGGTATTTTATCCAGCTGGCGATAGTAAAATAGAAATAATAAATGCTAAATATAATTAGAAAACGTAATAAATATAGTTTTGGATACCATCGCGGGGCCACGGCCTGAAATAAGTTTTATGAACCACTTTGCATGCTGGGGAATCTTGCCTCATACCTAGCCCTCCTATCACTAACTATTACCAGAACTACTACTACTGCTACTACTACCACTGCTACCTACTTATCTGACACACTTATGAAACTAAACTTTTCACATATTTCATCCCTCAGTAACACTGGACGATTTTACGTAGGCCACGTGTTTTGCAAGGCCTCTTCATTATTTCAATTATCAATTCAATTGATGTTCATTCTGCATGTACCAGCCTGCAATCATCTTCAAGAGCGTGAAGAAGCATAATTTTTGGCCTCAGAATGTTAGCTTCCCAAATATGTCCCTGAATTTCGTCAAAAGCTGCATGAAAAACATTTTTAGAAGCTTTTTCTTGTAACCTGGCTGTAAATATTTTGTAAAGCTTCATCAATATATTGACAGTAGACCATACTACTATTATCCACAGGTTTATCTACAAAGAGGGTTAACATAAGTACTCCAATTTAACTAATACATCTGCTTATTTTGAAACATCAAGTAGGTTGACTCTTTATTTCATGGATAATAGCCTAAATATGAGTATAATTTGAGTGGAAATCTTTTAGTCTTCTTACGGTAAGTTTTGAACATCTATCTATACACTTGAGTGGTTCGTCAACTTCAAAACCAACCTTCTTGATGCCATTCTCTCCAATGCTTACCCTGAAAAATTTTGATGTTTGTTTGATTGCTGTTTTCATGTATTGTAGCATACTATATATTCTATCTGTACACGTTCTTAACATGTTTCTATTGTTCCTATTCACCCTGAATATTTATCCAACAACATCCATCCAGGCAGAACATTCTTTGAAACAGCTGTCTATTCAAATCATTATCATCAATACTCATTATATCACGTTTAATACGCTCGGGAGTGCCATTTCTGAAATTGGGAGTATCCTCCCTCCAAAGCTTAATACAAATATTTGAACTATGTGATTCTGAAAGGAAGCCTGAAAGTTTTCGGAGAGCAGTTCTGTAAAATATGTAAAAATAAGAAATGTGCAATCACATCTTAGCTAAAAATTGATTTTCTAAAATATGTACCTAGAAACAGTAAATACCAAATGTAATTCAAAATTATATCATTATCATCAATATTCATGTGATGTCCCCTGTATGCTCTAAGCAGGGGTCATGGTGAAGAGTTGTCTGTATCCCTCGACGTGCTCCCCCCCCACATGGCAGAGTGCCCAAAAAAATTTACTAACATTTCCCTAGCTACTTGCTACTCCCTATTTGATTGGAGTTCTCCGACGCAAAGCTCTTTCTTGAAGCTTATGATAATTTATTATATGACAATTCCGATTCTCTCGACTTTTAAAGTTTGCAACCAATTTATTTTTCCTAACTTTTCAACTGAACTGACGCTTTTTCCTAGTGATCCCTAACTACCTAAATGGGGCACTCTGTCTCTGTCTGGGCGAGGGCAGCAGTTTGAAGAGTCGTCCGCCACATTTGTCAACCATGCTCGCTCTTCGCATTGGGCAAAATTAGTCAGTAGCGACAAGCGAGATAGATCGATGAAGTCGATCGATCTTACAAGTCAAGATCCGGCTCCCCAAAGTCTTCTTCCAACCCCGAAAAAGACGATGGTTCTACAGACCAAAAAAGCCCTCCGCCCTTTCATCGCTTGTTGTGTCCAGCTATCCTAAGGTAGTGTAGAAACCGAAGGAACATTGAAGACGCCCCTTCCAATTCTATCCTGTCGCTCATGGACCTAAATTTTCTCGAAGCCATGTGCAATGCCCCGATAAATTCAAGACATAATCGACAGCCTACCGAGGATAAAAGGGCTAGTCAACCTCTTTCGCCAAATGTGTCAATTCGCACTAACAAACCAGTTGTATAAGGGAGTTTGACGTTATACAACCAGTACGTTTATCAATCTCTCATCTCTCGCTCTGTTCGGCTGTCAACCCCACACCAATAAGAAAACCCTAAATGCACTTACATTTCAGCAAATTGCTCTTGTCCCTGTGCTCCTGCATGCTCTGCGCAAGAGCATACTATGTGTCTGAATCTCTCGATGTGCCCCTGCTTCTTCGCAGCAGGGCAAGGTGAAGAGTTGTCTCTATCTCTTGACGTGCCCCCACATCGCAGAGTGCCCAAAAAATTCCCTAACATTTCCCTAGCTACTCGCTACTCCCGACCACTTGATTGGAGTTCTCTGACGCAAACCTTTTTGTTGATGCTTATGTGTTATATGACAATTCCGATTCTCTCTACTTTTAAAATTTGCAACCGTTATATTTTTCCTTACTTCTCAACTGAACTGACGCTTTTTCCTAGTGATCCCTAACTATCTAAGTGGGGCACCCTGTCTATGGAGGGCAGTATGAAGAGTCGTCCGCCACATTTGTCAACCATGCTCGCTCTTCGCATTGGGCAAAATTAGTCAGTAGCGACAAGCGAGATAGATCGATGAAGTCGATCGATCTTACAAGTCAAGATCCGGCTCCCCAAAGTCTTCTTCCAACCCCGAAAAAGACGATGGTTCTACAGACCAAAAAAGCCCTCCGCCCTTTCATCGCTTGTTGTGTCCAGCTATCCTAAGGTAGTGTAGAAACCGAAGGAACATTGAAGACGCCCCTTCCAATTCTATCCTGTCGCTCATGGACCTAAATTTTCTCGAAGCCATGTGCAATGCCCCGATAAATTCAAGACATAATCGACAGCCTACCGAGGATAAAAGGGCTAGTCAACCTCTTTCGCCAAATGTCTCAATTCGCACTAACAAACCAGTTGTATAAGGGAGTTTGACCTTATACAACCAGTAGGTTTATCAATCTCTCATCTCTCGCTCTGTTCGGCTGTCAACCCCACACCAATAAGAAAACCCTAAATGCACTTACATTTCAGCAAACTGCTCTTGTCCCTGTGCTCCTGTATGCTCTGCGCAAGAGCATACTATGTGTCTGAATCTCTCGATGTGCCCCTGCTTCTTCGCAGCAGGGCAAGGTGAAGAGTTGTCTCTATCTCTTGACGTGCCCCCACATCGCAGAGTGCCCAAATAATTCCCTAACATTTCCCTAGCTACTCGCTACTCCCGACCACTTGATTGGAGTTCTCTGACGCAAACCTTTCTGTTGAAGCTTATGTGTTATATGACAATTCCGATTCTCTCTACTTTTAAAATTTGAAACCGTTATATTTTTCCTTACTTCTCAACTGACGCTTTTTCCTAGTGATCCCTAACTATCTAAGTGGGGCACCCTGTCTATGGAGGGCAGTATGAAGAGTCGTCCGCCACATTTGTCAACCATGCTAGCTCTTCGCATTGGGCAAAATTAGTCAGTAGCGACAAGCGAGATAGATCGATGAAGTAGATCGATCTTACAAGTCAAGATCCGGCTCCCCAAAGTCTTCTTCCAACCCCGAAAAAGACGATGGTTCTACAGACCAAAAAAGCCCTCCGCCCTTTCATCGCTTGTTGTGTCCAGCTATCCTAAGGTAGTGTAGAAACCGAAGGAACATTGAAGATGCCCCTTCCAATTCTATCCTGTCGCTCATGGACCTAAATTTTCTCGAAGCCATGTGCAATGCCTCGATAAATTCAAGACATAATCGACAGCCTACCGAGGATAAAAGGGCTAGTCAACCTCTTTCGCCAAATGTCTCAATTCGCACTAACAAACCGGTTGAATGAGAGATACAACCGGCAGGTTTATCAGTCTCACAGCTCCCACCCGTTTCGGCTGTAAACCATACACCAATACGAAAACCCTAAGTGCACTTACATTTCGGCAAACTGCTCTAGTCCCTGGAACAAGTAGAAACACAATGAGTATACAACTACTACGTTATTGAGGGTCTCACACTCACACTTCGGAAGGCAAGGAGGACGGAACAATTCTAGCGAGCGTTTCGGCATGCGAACGGCTATAAAAGCTGTTTCATGTCAAGAAAAGTTACGCTCGTACTATTTTCGTAGTTTGTTTTGATTGTATGGTACTCTTGTTGTTGATATTTTCTAATACCTGGTTAAATAAACGAATATAAAAGAAATAATTCGCTATAACATATTGTCACATTTTATAAAATCTGGTTTGCACGTACCTGGAGAATACCTACGCAGTCCATGGGGGTCTCAATTACCAACGATGAGCCACTGCCAATAACTTATCAAAATATCACGAAAAATTGCCGTTATACAATAAATGATCACCCTGTTTTTCTATATTTGTATCCTTGTCCTTACGGAGCATTTTTTCAGAAACCGCTATCTTGCAAGAACTTTATAAAAAGCTATATTTTTAATAAGTATGATACAAAATACTTTTGGGTTTTTAAATCTTAATTTTTACCATTTTTACTCTTTTTTACCAGCCTGTTTATTAATTGTCCTACTTACAATCGCGTCACAAGAACACAAATATAATAAGATTGAAGTGTTGTGACGACGGTGTTTTTCGAAAACGATTTAAGGACAAAGTAACCTTCGAATAGACTATAGAATTAGTCCTTGATTTTTTAGTGAACATACTGCCAAAAGAAAATATTTCCACTCAGTAAATTAGAGAGTGATCTTTAATATTAACAGGATTTTTTAAAATGAAAATCTAGAATTTTTGAAAATGAAGATCTGGAATTTTGGGCTTGCTGCCAACAATGGACAACGTCTCAGCTATTATGTAAAAATAAATGTCAAATTGCAGACTATGTAGTTTTTAGCGTGCTAATAGTTGAGATTACACGTTTGTTTGCTATTAGTCTAATCATTCATATTAGACGTTAATACCTCTGGTTTGCTAAATAATTGTAAATTCTGGTTTTATTGATGCAAGTTGTTCAAACGGGTATTTAAAACCTGGATTCATAGAATGGGTACACCAATTTTTGTGAGGAAACTTTTTCTTCGACAAAAAGGATGAG